TTAAATCTCCAAGTGCGCAATCTGTGCGATTCAATTGGCACTTGTTCAAATTACATTTCACTCTAGGCAGGGTGCCTCGGCTAATAATTATATTGGTTTCTTCTTCTAGCTTCCTTTTCAGTCTATTCTAAGTACGAACAATAACTTTTTTCTTTCATTCAACAATTGACTGTTAACAATATCCTGGGCGTTTTTGTAAGTAGGTAGGTTTCTAAGCTGATATCATCAGTTAAAAACTACTTTTCGTAGTTTTTGCTAGTTTCATCCTTTTAGCTTGGCTTAGGAGAGTTTGTCAACTTGAAATCGGTTTTGACCAATGACATAATGCGCACAGAGATACACATATTTTTAAATGGACGGTAGATAAATTAAAACCTCCTTTCCTACAGGATTAACGAGGAGTAAATCGCAGAGGGAAGAATGTCATAGTAATTCCTTTAATTACTCGTAATCCCTTGGAATTGCTTCATACTGTTCACCATAATTCTTCTGTGGTTTACCGGTCGTGTCGAGGTGAAGGTATTATGTTCCCAATTGAAGCGAAATATTTTAAGGCACTACGTTGAAACTTACCCCATTTAGTTACAAAATCAAGGGCATAGGTCGGAAATAGATATATTTTCTTACCTCGTATCGAATGTTGCATGAATGAATTGCTTGGAACAAATGATAGAGTGAGATCTGTTATAGTACCTTTAGGATCCCATATTTCTTGGATGATTGGGATTTTTGCAAGGATAACCGTATTCCATTATTTACTTGTTTTGAATTCTGTTCGTCTCTCTTCTAAATTTGTCATTTTTAAGGGCACAAAAAGAGATGTAAAAAAACCCTCTCTGGGGAGAATATCATTTTTTAACAAATTTAAGCTCGTCATCCATCCGGATTACACAGTACGTTCTTCGGATCGCTCCGGAATAGCAATAAAAATGCAAGTAACGAACGTAAAAGTAAAATCCAAAGCAATTTAGTTCAATTTCGTTCCAAATAAGGGAAATCTATTTGCTTTTTATAGTTGATCCGCATTTATTAAAAGGGACTAGAATAAATTTCAACGTTAAGCCTCCCGAAATTGAGTTTTCTGATTTATTCTGATGAGATAGCTCGAAGTAAATTACCTTTCCAAAGTGGTTTTCGTAATGCGTCCCGTTCTGTGGAATGTCTGAAAAATTTGTGACCCAATGCAGCGCCGCGCAAAACTGCATATCCCGTCTCCATTATTTGATGATTTCTTTTCAGCGGACATTAATTGACGATGAGGCGCAGCCACAAAATTTGTGTGGAAGCTGAAAATCGATATTACGCGAATATGTAAAGTACCCTTTGAAGTTTTACATTACGTGATTGTATTGTCTGTACCATTTCATATCACAGTAAGTCATCCTTACTAAAAATGATTCCTAAGAGAGGGAATATGCTTAGTACTGGAGATTATGCGTTAAGTTATAGCCTCGGTTGTATGTGTTGCAGTTTATAAGGAACGATAAAAGGAGCAAACTCTCAGCATACATTTCTGATTTTCCTTCTGTTTTGAAACATGTATATCTTAATATTTACGATGCCTAACTAACTCTTCTCAAGCAAATGAAGTATTTGCTGGAGATGCAAAGATTAACGAGTTTGCTTGACTCTGTCAATACTACTACGGATTGTTTAGACAACTCTATCCAAATTGTAAATTAGATTATCATATCATTATCATTATGGCCCAGCTTTAATGGCGAGGGATATTGGCAGACTCTAGAAAGTTCAAAAAGTCTAAAGCTTAAACCTTCGAGACAGCTTCACCTCATGTGTTACAAAACGTTAAAAACCAATCAGCCGTTTTATTTATCTAAGAAGTTTGTATGTAACTTAATAGTAGTAATATAATAAAAAAACATTTACTACTTCTGCCTCGACATAACAAGGCATTATTCCAAAGATCTTTTTAATATGAAGCCCCAGTTGCACAAACAAATTACCAGGAGATTTTGTAATGATTTAATAACAAAAAAAATTAAAAACATGTAGTTTAAAAGCATCCTATTATCCTTTTTTTTTAATTTGTCATCACTGAATTGCAAAGTTTCTTGATTTTCGCATAATAAAGACACACTAACAACAAACTCAAATCTAATTTCACACGTTTTACATGAAAAAAGAACACATATTGACAGTTAAGAATATCAATAAACTGTACATTTTAGTAAACGAAAATTAATACTATTGGAACACCAAGACCTCAAAAATCCTATTTTATATTTGCATTTGTTTTAATTTTTTGGATTTTATACTAAATTTTTCGTTGTAATTTTAATTTAGCAAAGCTATTGTAAATAAATTATAGTTTTGGTCAAATTTATTGTTACATTATGTTACAGATCCGCGATTGAATTTATTAAATAATTCCAGTTTTATTATTAATATTTTATTTATTTTTCTGCAAGTAAAATGTTACAAATTATTGTAGAGATTGAAGACAATCGATTGAACACTCGCGTATAATTCCGCCAAAATTTGAAATAGGAAATTGTGCATCCACCTAAGAGATGCAATTTAATGGGATTTTATGGAAGTTTACATTATATAAGCACCCTCAAAATTCAAAATATGCCTCAATTGAAACCGAAACTCGGTTATTAACTTACATCGGCTTGAGCCTGATCGATAAAATCTAATTCGCATCACGTGTTTGCAAGGAAGATTTGCAGAATCAAATCTTAATTGGCAATTTCACGTACTATAGGAAATTCGATGTATTAATTGCGTTCGACGTAATCAAAATCTGTGGCAATTGAATTTGGTTTCATGATGTAAGTAGCGTATAAGAAATTCGCGAAGTACAAATATTTTATCTAATTAAAGTGGGCTTAACAAGGACTTTATAGTTTCCAAAATGTGGAAAACATCAAATTTTGTGTGTGAACCGCTATTTTAAAACCGATTCGAACACCGTTTTAACCAAAAATATAATATTAATTTGCGCGCATATTTAGAACAATTACTAATTTTAATTACAAATTACCTATCGCCGAGAGTGGTTTATGGGTTTATGAGTATTTAAGTCAAGAAATGCAAATATCCATTACTAGAGTGAATTTAGAATCCCGATGCATTAAGGAATCTTAAAGAAAGACTATTATGAGGCTATTTGCACATCATTTTAAAAGTTAATAAAAAAGTTCACAGTTTTGTAAATTTCACGTTTTTGGCAAATTACTAATCAATAAGATAGAGAACACACTGACCAATTTTATTGATTTATGTTCGTGAAATCGATTGTAACTAAATATTTTGTGCTAATTATTTTTAAGTAAATCTGTATAGATATATACGTAACATTCACCGGTACTTCAAAATAACGCGCCACACTGACTGTATGCAATAATAAAAATGAAAAAGAGAGTAATTAAATTAAACTATAATTAGTTAAAGATTAATATACACTATAAGACTGTGCAATTAAGGGAATTTTAAATCAATATATTTCCGAAAAGATCTTATAATTGGAAAATAACGTTTCAGTTATCTTATTACACTTGACTAACCTAAGTTATAAGATTATAAAGTTATAAATGTTGTACAGATGCTGGACAGATCTCACTAGTTTCTAACATAGTAGCACAGTAAAAGATGCTTGCCGTTATTCTTGATATGTGCTCAATAAAAGTAAAGTTAGTGTCAAACACAACACCCAGATCTCCCCAGGGGCACAACGTTGAGGGTATAGTCAAGTAACATGTGACTATTATTTCGATAAAAAGATGCGACCTTGCATTTGGCAACATCAAGTTTTAGAAAGTTCATAGAGCACCGCTGATTTTTTTTGTAATCCCTTGCAATCATTCTGTTTGGGGATGTCCTCCTTCATCCGCAAACATCAAATGAGATAAGTTTTTTGTAATGGATTTGATGATTATCAACGAAAATATTTAATTATATATATTATTATACAATAGAAATACGAGACACAGAAGAAGTCGTTCAAAATTTGGTAACTGGTACAACCTCTTCCTGTTCCTGTTCCTGCCTGTAAATTAATACGTCCGGTCATTGTTAAGTTGCGTTCTATACTAGACCATTTACGCCTCTTTTTGCTGACTGAAGACAGGTTGTTTAATTGCAAAAGGCCTTACTACATGGTGAGGATGTGTTTCTGGTTTCTTATCCAAACTTACAACATCCTTTCTAATATATTTGAACAGACATAGACTATGTTCTTGGAAGATGGCTACAACATTGCAAACTTAGCACAAGCTGCTGAAGTTGGTAGGGTCTTTATGTAGAAAACAAGGACGATTTTCAAAATGCCAAAAAGAGGTAAAAAATATTTCATTAACAAAAAATTAATATCCCTCAAGAGTCTGCTGTCTGCCTGGAGCCTAGATGAATACGAAGCAACTATGGAGGCATCAGGAGATTAAATTTTTTGTGGTTTATTTGTACCTCTTTTTTTCTAAATTACAATATGCTTTTGTAAATAAATTGGGGAAACTAAATGTGCTTGAGTAAAACATATACACTTAGTATGTTATCTCCAAGATTATTTTACGTATTATTTGATGAAGAAACCTCCATTTTATTGGGCCTCGAGAATAATCGATTCTTTTCTATTCTATTCTTCTTTCTTATTCTATTCGTTTGGGTTTCCTCAATTAGAATCCACAGAAATATTTCGCACGGTTTACCCTGAAAATCAGGTCCGTGTTCAGCAAAGACAATGAGCAAAAGTTTTTGAGAAAACCATTTTTCACCGACATCGTTAACGGCTCCAATTATCGCAACCTGTCCAGCCCTACGAACTGCAGAAAGCACTTCGGACACAATACGTGTGTTTCCTTATTTATTTCTAACTAGGCCACAGTAATAATTAGCACACCTCATTCCCTAACACGGTTCGCAAGAAGCGTAAAGAACTTGCGCCCGCGCCCTAGCGTTGTCCTCTGTATGGTCCAGAGCAGACTCTATCATAGAGCCGGATCTTTCCACTCTGTATCTCGTTCAGTCGTTCGGAAGAGTCAGGTGTCGCGTGCACAGTTGCTGTAAACTCTGCCTCTTTATTTCGACCGTCGATTTTGGCCGCTGAGGTTGCTCAACGCCTTGCTGTTTTGGGGTAAGTATTATGAGTTTTGAAATTATTTTATGGAATTTCACGATTGTGTAAAAAAATTGTCAAAAATTATTTAATTAGTTAACGATCTCCTGTTACGGATGCGTCGACGGTGGGTATGTCAACATGAATGAAGATATAATGGAAAAATTTTATGAATTTCATCAATTTTATCACATGTTTTAAAAAACCATAAGCGAATTTCTAGTTAATGTTTAAATATTGGATATCGGATATTTTAAATATTGGATCTTGAATACCAAAATATCTGAAAAATATTTCGTAATTCAGATATTAGAAAGAATTCCTAGCTAAAAGTAGTACAATATGTGTCAGTTGATAAAGTCTTTCTATTTAATGGGGCTGTTATTCTGGAAAGGCTGTTATTTGTATTCAGAAAGGTGTAAAGCTGTCGTTCAGTTAATTAAAAATTTTCTATTGTTTTTTACAATGGCTTCTACAACACAAAATTGAAGCGTTTTAAGATCATACGAAATTTAATTTGCTGAAACGTTATAACCATAAGTTTCATGGTATATTAGTTAGCTGATATTTAATGGATCAGTACTAAACTGTTATTGTTATTACTTTCGAAGAATCTATAAAATCGAATTTTATTAGTTACTTTCACATAGCTATTTCTTCAGTAACAGATAAAAATTTTTATTTAAGGGTATCGCATATTACACAGGGTGTGGCGAAATGTGCTATCCACTTGCAATTTGGCAATCCGTGAAAGCTGAAAGTTTTAAAAATTATTTTGGTTTATTTTGGGGTTTGAAAAAAATTCTTTCTTGAAAATCATTTGCTTGATCGGTTATTTTTCGATTATCTAAATATATATTATGGGCAAAAACTAACCAAAACTCGATGAAAATATTCTTTTTAGGGAGTAAATTACCTGCCAAAAACAATTTACCGCGAAAAATTCTAAAGTTTGGTATAAAAAGTATTGTAGACTGCTTCAAGGGCTGCAATTGTTTATGCATTTTTCATTTATCATACACACTACGCTGGATATTTGAAAGAATAAACTTATAGTACAAAGTTTTATATTTAGGTACTTATTTAAAAGGCAATTCAAGTACTACAGAATAATGCGAGGCCATGTTGCGAATGCGAATAGTTTTCTTAAATGGAGAATATCTCTGCAAATAAACGTTAAATAAGGGCTTATTTAAGAAAAAAACTAGGCTAATAACATTGTTTTTAGGAATATATTTGCTCTTGCTAATTTATGTTTTAATTTGAACCATATTTATCTTATCTTTGAGCAGATTGGGGATCTTATAATTTGCTTTTGTTGCATAAACTATCTATGTACCAAGCATGATGCTTCGTTTTTATTGATGATTCGATTTCAAACCTGCATATTGTGTTATCCTTCTTAGTCTACCTCGTTTTCAAACAATAAGTGAAAACATGTCGACCAAAAAATAATGCAGGTTATTCATATTTTCTTTTTAAGCAGTAACCTTTATGTGGGAATTTATTAACAAATAGTTCTAATTATGATAGTTCCTTTGATGAGTGTTTATTTGAAAGGCAATTCTAAGAATACAAAAAATAATACAAGAATATAAATTCATGATGAAGAATATGATCTAAACTTTGAAGAAACTACAAAAAAGGGTTCTAAATGCATTAGCATATAATAATGTTGAAAACTCTTATAGTTTTTAAATGGACGATGACGACAGTGAAAGCAAAATTTTAGCAGGAAGGTTGTTATGGGTAAGGGTGTAGCATACTTTATCCCACTTGAGAAATCAATGAAAATGTCGGAAAAAGTCTTTACTTGCTTAACTAACTGTCACTATAGCAACAGTTTCTAACATTGTCTGAATTGTGCGGTATTCCTTAGCATATTAAAATGTCTTATGCATCATTAAACTATAATGAATTCCCTCGGTAGAAACATTAGTAAGAAGTAAGAAGCTATCGGTTCTTTTGAATGTCTTGGTGTAGTGATAATTGATTTTTTTTTTCGCAAACTTAGTTAAGCGCGATTGTATTAACACTACACATTCTATTTTTTTAATCAACTCAAATTAGGGGTTTTCAATCAATTCGTGGTATATATATATATATATATATATATATATATATATATATATATATATATATATATATATATATATATATATATATATATATATATATATATATATATATATATTCTTTCTGTCTTTTAAATACATAAAAATAAAAAGTTACGTTTAAAAAGCCTTTATATTTAACCACATAACTTGTGCCATTTTAAATTTAAATTTAAAATAATGGAAAATCTTTCCTCAAGTAACTAAACTAGGAGTTTTTAGTAGCAAAATGTCTCTTAATATCACTTGTTCTTACATTGGGTTTTTTTTTTAGATGCATTAATTTGTTACTACTCTATTACTACTTACTTAGATTAATTGTACTGAAGTGGCTTTTACTTGAAGAAAATCCATTTAAAATAGTTAAATAAGAAGAAACGTTGTTCAGATTTTCACATAAATATATTTAAATGACAGCTGTTTCGGCAACACACAATTTTGATAAAGGCCGAAACAACTGTCATTTAAATATATTTATGTGAAAATCTGAACAACGTTTGTTCTTATTTAACTATTACTTAGATTACTAATCTTAGATTTTAAGTCAAATATGAATCAGTAGATCCAAATATTTGGACAATATAATAATGAATAATTTAACTTAATAGAAATAGTCTCATACCACGGACCATAAAATTTGCGCTGTAGCCAGTTACTATCGAAAATTATGAAATGGATATTAACATGGAGTCAAGATCAAAAGTGACAATTTACTAAAAACAACAATTAAAGTTCATTCAGCAATGATGGAATTGGCCGATAAACTGGAAAGGCTTTATTATACAATTCAGTCGCTTCATTGTTGTAAATGATTAGACAAACGAAAAACGTGAATAAATCGGCAATAAACATATTTACAATTCAAAAGATTGGCTCTAATAAAGTGAGTTTGAATTGGTACAGCGAAATTTATTGCTCAATCACTACGTTCCCAATTTATTGTATGCATGTTTAATGGAATTATTGTTAAAATTGCAACACACAGAATTAATAAGCCGTGAATGGAAACTGATTAATGGGAGCTAGATTATAATTTTTGAACTTCGGAAATTGAATATACTTGCACAATATGTTTTTGTTCAGATCGATTGAATAGTCGATTATTATTATAATCTCGTTAATAATAAAACACGTGTTATAAATCCCTTGTCACAGTTTTAGACATTATGATTTGGTGCTTTGCATCGTCGTTCCTAAGTTCGATGTATGGGCAGTTATAATGTTTTAACGTTAACTTTAAAGTCATGTAGACTAAACTCACTAAGTAGCTATAATAAGTCCAAAGGATTTTGGATTAGTTTTTAAATAGGCAATTATCAATAATTTTACTTCTATTTTAGCTATTTTAGTATAAGCAATATCAAATATCACCGTTTAGTTTCACCTGTCTAACTGTGACCCAACGGATCTACTGCGACTCCGTTGTCGTAGTAGTGCTTTATTCTTTGGCATGTCTTTGTCGTCGTTTTCTATCTAAGGTACTTCATAAATTTAATTACACGCAATGGTATTATTCTTAAATGAACTAAAATCTAGTAGAAAACTAAAATAATCACGTTCCACTGTTTGCGCAAAATAGCAACAATTTGGTTTTGCATGGTTAGGGATTAAAATAGATAATTTTTAATGGGAATTTCACGGAGAAGAAGCAATATTTAGAAATATTTCGAAAATATTTAGAACACAAGAATGAAAAAGGGTTTTTTTACTCTATCAGTTCTGAAAACAGGTAATTAAATTCAAAAACGAGTGGGTATAAATTTTATTATTTACTAAATTTTGATTAGTTAGGTCGAGTGCTTATTTGAAAGGCCATTCTAGTAACACGTTGATCAACATGATCTATATTGTGAAAAAACTAAAAAAGTGTTTTAAATACCTTATCATATAATAAAATTGAAAACTCTTTTGAAAGTGATAGCAAGAAGGGTTAGTGTAACACAACTGTCACTATAATAACTATAACTCCTTCGCTGAATTGTGCGGTATTCCTTAGTATAATAAATTATACGCCATTAAATTACAAACAATTCTCTCAGTAAAGGCATTAGTAAGAACAAAGAATTATTGAGTCCTCTTTTGAATGTTTTGTCGTTTCGACGGAAATGTCCAAGCAGAATGCTTGCTTATGATGGATTTTTTTTGATAACTTGGTTAAGAGCGATCGTGTTAAGCTTCAGAATATTATTTTTCTCTGTCGCAGGACCAAGATGAACAAAATATTTATTTCTGCAGGCATAATATCTTCTTTCTCTAGTTCCTAGAAGCTTTCTTTTACGTATGTAAAAATAAAGTTACTCAGCTCGTTCAACAATCGAAAAAAATGCTTGCTTTCGAACCATTCGATGAAAATTTATCAAAAACCTTAGTTTTTATTAATAATCGCACGTATTATAGAAAAAATTATAAATTGCTGTTTCAAGATGATCATTTAATTGGGTAACATGCATTAATTTTGATTTTTTTGTCTTTTTGATTTACTCGGTGACTTGTAGAGCGTAAAAGTAAACGAATCCTTATCGCTGATTACGATCGAGTATTTTTTAGGAATCGGTACAAAGCTTTCAGTTAGTTAATTGCAAACATTTCTAGACAGTATCGAGGGGCGAAACGAAAGATTGAACAAATTTATAGGACTCGGCGAGTTTATTTAACTCTGCTCTCGAGTAATCGAATCAATGATTAACTATTTACTTCAACGTAGTCTGTGAAATACCTGACGTTTCGAGTTAATTGACTGAGAGATTTTTTTTTTAAATCAATAAAATATAAGAATTACAAAACATTATTATCGCAAAGTTTGTAATAAGCAATTTTCTAAAATATTTTTGATAGATACCTAAGGTAATAGCTAATTTGTAAACGAGTTGAACAATTGTGCTGTAGAGCAACAGCTTTAAGAAA